GGTAAAAATATTTTTTTGCGATTTTGGTTAATAGGTACCTACAAACTTTCTATTTTACATAAAAAAATATCCTATTTACGTTACACGAAATTACTGAAATCTGGAATCGAAACCAAGAACATGGAAATCTGGCAACCCAGCCCGGCATCGTACATCGCAATGCCATGTAATATTGACAGTTGAGTTGAAGAGAGCGCTTCTGTACTTGGAGCTTTTCAAATTTTGGCACGTAAATAATCTATATATATAAAACACAGTTGTGTTTTGTGGAAGCACTTATAACTCGAGAACGATTGAACTGATTTTTATGATTTTTGCTTTATTGGATTTGTCTTTGTCTATCCTAACATAATAAATCGAAAAAATCAAAAAAAAAAAAACCAAAACAAAAAAATTACCTTTTTTACTTATTTATGAAAAAAAATTAATAAGCCCGCATACGGCGCCATCTCTTATAACCGATATCAAGTTTACCGTCACATTTTCATTGCAAACCATGTGGATTTTATTGTCACACACTTTGCACAAAAACAATTTAAGGAAAGCACTTTACTTTCAATTGTTCTTCACAATAAAAATGTCCAAAAATAAATAGAATCACAATGTTTTAATTGTGTATTTTATTTTGTTGTTGGTCCATTCCGAAAGAGCGCGAGCTGGTCTTCCTGTCATTTCTTGACGCTTGATCATTGACGTTCTGTGGCTAAGTTCCGTTTCTCCTCTCAGGCATCCCTTGACAGCTGTGATCTGTGCCGACTGTTCGGAGTGCTCCGTCCGACTGGTGTCGAGTGGCTGAGAGCCAGGTTATGAGTCCGCCACAACCATTTTGTATACGGCGCCATATATGATACCTAGAACGAAGCTCACCGATGCGCGGTAATTTCATTGCAGATGCAGTAGAACCATACTGCTCAGGAACTGGAGATATTTAGAACAGAACTATTCCACTATTCTGATCAGATAGAGTGGTGCAGAAAGAGTAGATCAGATAGAATAGTGCAGATAGAGTAGAACAGATGGGGTAGTGCAGTGCAGATAGAGTGATACAGGGCTGCGCTGTAGATTTTTTTCTGTTTTCTTTACATTCTTTGAACATTCTTGTGCCTGAGTTTATTCATTTGGTGGTACACTTTACAAGAAAAATGCCCACAAGCTGCCTTGAAAGGGATGATGTAAAATTTTAATTTTAGGTGACTTCTGATCTAGAGAGTAAATATTAATATTCTTCAACCAAAGCCAAATTCACAATCGAAAAAAACTGAATTTAATTCAGCTAATAGATATGTTCACACAACATTTAATAGGTATTTAATAATTCAGAGGCGGTACGAAGTTCGCCAGGTCAGCTAGTCGAATATAATTTTAACCTCAAAAGTTAAGTTTGATGTGTAGTTTCAAGACAAGCTGACGCTGACACTTTTGAAAATATTCTTTAAGGGCTACTCAACGTTTTGGAAGATATTTTAACTTATTTACTGTTCATTGTTCATATGTAGTCATCTTTCCTTCCACTTATTGAAACGTTTTAAAGCTATTGACATTTACCGCCAAAATTCGAAGCACTCCAAGTTCACTCGCGCAGTCTACAAAATTTTATGGAACTTAACTGGATATTTGCTGCCATTCGCGGTCATGTAAAGGTGCATTTCCACCAAGCGCGCAAAACGATTGCTTTGCGAATGATCAGCAATGTTCGTGAACAAATTCTTTTAATTGGTGGAGACGGAATTTGCAATGTTTGCAACCATGTGGGAAACTCTCTTTCTTTTAAATACACATGGCAGTGTTGCCATCTCGGTAGATTTTTCAGTGGTTCTAGTGGATTTGAAAGTCATCTAGTGGAATGGTTTTAGCAAATTCCACTATAGTGGTAACTTTAATGGGAATGGGAATGGGATCCACGGTTTCGAGTGAATTTTTATCTCAATGATTTTTAATGATACTTCGCTTCCATTAGTTCTCGATACTTCTTTTTAAAATTTCGAAATAACGTATTTGTATAGGATTCCTGTTAATTTACAGAAGGCAGCATATATTCAACGATGATAAGGATACACACCTTCAGGACTACTTATCAGCCTCGTTTTTGGTAATCGCCGCCATATTGGTTTGTCACCATTTCCGACGCCATAACTAAGTCGTCAGCTGTTTAAACAGCCTACGTCAAGGCCAGAAATAACATGCTGCCTACGTCACAACTGGTATTTTGGTGTGGGGGAAGGGGGGATTTGTTACACACAGGCCTTATAAGGATAGGCCATTCTTAGTAGTGTGTATCATCCTTGGGCTTGTCATATCATAGGTATGCAATATTGTCAATGATGCTTTCATGTCAATTGTCAACACTGTTACTTTTAAACTTCCAGTCGAGCAAACCGCAAACCCGGCTTTCATGCTTTTATAAACATGCTGCTGTAACATAATCTAAGAAATAATGAAAGGAACTAACACAACACAACATGGTAGATGATACCTAGATGGCGTTAAGTATCCATATTTTTTAGAATTATTAAACAATAAAAAAGATAGGAGTGCTAAAAATTTCAAAAAAATTTAGTACTAGTACAAAAAATTTTTTTTTTCCTAGTGGATTTTAGTGGAATTAAATCTCTTTTCTAGTGGACAGTCTTGGTTCAGAGTTGGCAACACTCCACATGGTTATAAAAACAGTGACGGTGACAATAGCTTTTTTCGCGCAGCTATTTTGTTGCGAGCGTTCGTTTTAATTATTTTTTGATGGAAATCACTTACAGAAAGTTATTTTTTGAAGGCTGCCTGCGGCGAGCCTTCATCATTATGAAAACCCCCCCCAAATAAAAAACCTGGGTGCGCCACTGCCAGCGTGTCTCCACGGATGGCAAACTATCCTCTGAACAGAACATCACTTTTGGAGTCCCTCAAGGCTCAGTTCTTGGACCCATCCTATTTCTTCTATATATCAATGATCTCCTGTTCATCAATATATCTGGAGAATTTGCAGCGTTCGCGGACGATGCGACTGTGCTTTGGCACAACTTCGACCCTAACGAGCTGATCAGAATAATATCCCACGATCTAAACAATGTCAAAATGCGGTGCGATGCAAATGGACTCCTTTTCAACTTCAACAAAACCCAAATACTAGCATTCCGATGTAACATCGAACGAATTGTATGTGACGAATTTTCCGTTAAAAGTTCGAAAAATACAAAGTTTCTTGGACTTAACTTGGATGTTGATCTTAAATTCCAATCACATATAATAGCTCTCAATAAAAAACTATCTTCAGGCTGCTACTGCATACGATCAATCTCATCTACCTTGGGGTTCACCATAGCAAAATCAGTATATTTCGCTGTGATACAATCGCACCTAACTTATGGATTGCCATTTTGGGGATTTTGCAGCCAGTATCTTTTTGAATCAGTATTTAAACTACAAAAACGTTTCACCACGGGAACACTGTAGGCCACTATTTGTTAAGTATAGGATCCTCACTCTTCCATGTCTTTTTATTCTCGAGTCAGTAAGCCTTATTCATAAGAATATCTCCTGTTTTCCGGCACGCCAAACTACCCATATGACGAGACAAAGTCATCATCTGTCGCTTCCTATTCCACGTTCCTCTCTTGTACAGAACTCTATCATTTACAAGAGTGTAAAACTTTATAATCACCTTCCAGCAACTTTGAAAGATATATCAGATATCACTCTATTTCGAAAAAAGTTAAAAATTATCTTACTTACCCAAGCATTCTATACTGTTAATGAATCTCTGGACTTGGTATTTTGAACCTAATAAATTTAACCAGCTTTTGCAGCCTAGAATTACCGTGGGCGGGGCACTCTGTCCTGGGTGTTTATTTTATTTTCCTATCAGAGCACTACTGTACTGTTTGTTCATGTTTTATCTTATTTCTTAATGTTTCTGTCAAGATCTGACCCCCTAGTTATTTAGTTATTATTGATTTTAATATTTTACAACAGTTTGTTCTTGTATTGTTTCTTCTCTGTGTGACTTATCACTTGTTTATAGTTTTTTTTAACTTATTTATTAACTGTTAAAATTTAAAAATATGTATGTGTATTTACTGTGACAAGCATTATAGTTAGATGGTTTAGATTTTAGATTTTAGATTTAAGGATTAGCTTTGTCCATAATGATTATTGTATCTTTTGACAATAAAGCATGCTACTACTACTACTATGTGATTTTTAGATTTGGATTATCGGGACATCTTTTCGTGTGCTTGGTAAGGGATATTCATTGTTAATAAATAAAATATAATTACTTCTTTGCAATCTCATGTCAGTAAATTTGAACTTTTCCACTCTATTAAAGAACAAATATTTTCGAGAAAGTTTCCATAAAATGTATCTACTCTTGAGATTCCCCACACAAGAGACACTTTGTGCAAAATTTACGTTCCTACCACTACAATAATTCTTGCATGGAGCCAACCATATGACGCTGGAATTTCCCTACATTATAATTTTAGGGGCGTGTGAGCGCGAAATTTATGGTTTTGGTTTCAAAACAACGTAAGCGTTCCAACACCTGTTACCGAAAGTCGTGGAAACTTTGGAAATTTAAATAGGATTCGGAAAAGCTTAAAGATAGAGATATAGCAATAATCGAATCCATTTTCAATTTAGCAGAGGATAATTTTTGATTTCATGATTATTTAATTTCCGAGAAACACGAATAATCAATGAATGGTCAAAATATGTAGAAACTTCCATGTTTCCAAAGGGACTATTTTAACAGGGCAAAGTTTTAAAACAATACCGGAATATTGTTATAAGGAACATGCACAGATGTAGTTTAATACATCTCAATTTTTACACATTTCACCGGTAATATTTTACATAATTCACAAACATACTATGAGCCTTTATTTAGCCCAAATTATATCACAACAATAATCTCAATATACATATACTGTATTTGTGCCTTATTTATTAGGTATCTCAATTATGTTCTAGTTTGCCAATGTATCAATAACATAAATTACTCTTACCTTTTTTCCCAAGCACATCAACAGAAATATTCAAAGTTTTCAACTCGCTGGCGATGTAAGTCATATTAATGGGATAGTAACAGGTTTCGGCAAGAACAAGAAGGGGTCGAGGGGGTTGAAAGGATGCCAGAGGGACAGCGCAGGCCAGCAACCCCAACAGGTACAGGCCTGCCATTTTGGCCACTTCAATCGGCCATTTCGTGCATCGTTTCTAGTTGGCTGGTGTAAAGGTGGCAAACATGCCGTAGACTGAACGAGGTGGCATACACGTCATAAGTTATCTGGAAATAGAAAACTGGTTTAAATTAATCAATGATTGCTCAGCTTAACCAAATAATAATAATATATAAAAGTATTCTCATGTTCAGGCAATGAGGAATTTGCAGCTTTTTTTTTATTATCTTATTAAATTTTTCACATTGTAAAAAGCCACTTGCCACATAAATTTTAAAGGACCTCGCACATTTCTTATGGAAAATGGCTTTCGGCTAAATTTTCTGAAAATTTGAGATAATGTAGTTCTCGATGTCCTGATTAAAAGTTCTCATGGGCACAACTCAATCCTATGATCAGTTTTTGAGTTATGGGTTATCAAAATTGGCTTTTTTAGACTTTGAGATATTGATTTTTTTTCAACATATTTGTTTATATTTCCTCGATAAGTACATTTAAATTGAAAGTTTTTACTCTAAGTTTTAGGCGTTTTGGTGTCTTCTTAAAATGTGGTATAAAAGTTCCTACAGCGTCTTACACAAAATGGTGGCGGCAAAAAAATGTCAATTTAGAAAAAGTCGCAAATAACTAAATTCGATCAATTGTGTAGAATACAAAAACGAACGGCTAGATTTTGCCCTATTTTCAATATGTTGTTATCAAAAGTATATACTTAAGAATACCTACTATAGTTTTGGATACAAAATGTTATACCAGGTGTTCATTTTGTGCCAGGGCCCTGGTGTAGATGGTAAATGCCGACTGCAAGCGGGGTTCAAGTTCAAATGCTGTGGGCATTATTTATTGTTTTAAGTTTACCATAGGAATAGAGTTCACTAAAATTGATATTGTCGGCCATAGTGTACAAAATATAAAATAGTCTGAGGACTGACGAGTATGTGACCTTTTTTAAAACTGTATAAATAACCATTCTCACAGATATAGCGTAGGAATAAAGAGTGCCATCCCATCAGACTTATACCTATCTACTTAAACTAATAAACGTAATTGTTCCGTAATTTCATTAAATATATTAAATATTTGTTTTCTTTCAAAATTCATACTACGCCGCTGTTATTCATATTTTTTGCCCCTGCATTTTTGAGCGGGTTTCAACTAGTTTTAAGAGGACAAAAAATGGAAGGGTCCGGGCATAGATTTCACCAGAAATTGCATTTTCAGTCGTGAGTAGCTATCAGTAATGCGAGCATGTCGCTGTTGCATCGCAAGTAAAATAAAATAAATAAAAATAGCACGGGTCTTTCCAATATTTTGACTAATTTTGAGTTATTTTGTCGTTTAATTAAAGAAGTTTATAATTTACGTTAATAAATGTGTTTGAAAGTGATATTTGGGTTTTTAATTGGAACCTGAATAAAATGGATATCAATACGAGAAATAATCGATAAAAATAAGTGCAATCCAGCACATTATTTGGTGACCCCGACGTGATAATTGCGACGTAATAAGAAGAAAAGTACTTTCATGGAATTTCTGGCCCAGGAAAAATACGAAAATAGAAAATAGTGACCTGTGTGAATAAATAAAGCAGCACCAAGTACAATACCTACCTGTTCCTCTCGGCCTCCGCACCCCCCCGTATCCTAGCACAAGTCTTCTGTCGGCGTTTACAAGTTAACAACAGATTTTGCGACGCGAGAGCAAGCGAGACGCCAGACTATTTCAAGCAAGAAAAGGATGGAAGATGGTCCATGGTTGTTTTGAAGTTTTTTCAGGGCATTGTTATGGTAATGAATTGTGATGCCCAAAACTGGTAAATAGAGTACCTAGATTAGGAGCGGTCGGGTAAGTTTTTGTGATTCATAATTTAATTTGAATTATTTTGTTAAGGCTGTTGTTTATTTGAAATTTCTTGGGAGTTTAAATGGTATTTTCCTGGCCTCTTATTAGTAGATAGTAGACTAATAAGATAGACAAATAAATTGAATAATAATAAATAATAATTAATAAATGTAAATGAATAATAAAATAAAATAATAATAAATAATGGTTACTTCAGTTCAAGTAAGCCAATAGTTTGTGTTTATGTAATAATGAGTTCAGTAATAAATAATAAATAAAAATAAAGGTAAATTTGCAAATTTTCAGGTAAAATAATATAATAGGTAGCTACTTAAATAGACCTGCGTTTAACTTGGAAGAATAATTTGTAAATATATGGAAAATAATGAGTAAATTTAGTGACAAATAATAATAAATATAAGTAAGTGATTGCAAGGCGATTTAATAGTTGACAGTCGCTCTACAATAGCTGTTTCTTTCATTTCAAATTTGATAAATAAGGCTCAAATAAATAATTATGGCGACTAATAGACAGGAAAGGAAAGAATTACTTAAGTTAAGTAGTGATAAAAGGCAGATTTGTGCACAATTAGAGCGTTTTTATGATTTTGTTACTAATGTAGATGACTCTACACCTAAAGCAATAATCCAAACTCGTTCTGAAAAGTGTGAAGAGTTATGGGACAAGTTTGACTCAGTACAGTCTGGGATAGATTTTTTAGAGCCTACTGACGTCTCGGAAAGGCAGAATTTTGAAGATAAATATTTTGAAACAATTTGTAGGTTCCAAGAATTATTAAAGGAACCAGTAGTGCTTGGAAATAATAATATACCAAATCAAGTAAATAATGTCAGTACTTTACAGCAACAAAATTTTGTGAAATTGCCGTCTCTAGATTTACCTACTTTTAGTGGCAGCTATGATTCTTGGTTGGGTTTTTATGATAGTTTTGTGGCCTTGATTCATAATAATAACACCTTGGGGGCTGTGCAAAAGTTTTATTACTTAAAGTCATGCCTGAAGGATGAAGCTGCTCAGGTGATTCACTCAATTGAGGTTAATGATAATAATTACAATATAGCCTTTCAGTTGTTGAGGGACCGATATGAAAATAAAAAATTCATTATTCAAAGTCATGTTAAAGTTCTGTTCGAATTACCTACTGTAGGGAAAAATGTACTAAGTGATTTACGTAGCTTGGCTGATAGTATTCAAAAAAATCTTAGAGCCTTGAGAAGTTTAAAGGAACCGGTCGATAGTTGGGACACATTGTTGTTATATATGTTTAGTAGCAAATTGGACATAAATTCTATGCGTGAGTGGGAAACATTTTGTGTGAAGCAAAATAATATTACATGTACAGATTTTTTCAATTTCATTAATGAACGATGTCATATACTAGAAAATTTAGAATCACACAGAAGATGTTTGAACTCAAGTGGTGCTTCAAGTAATTCTCCAAATCAAAATAAAGTAGGCGGTTTCAAGGGCTCTAAGGGATTTCATAGGGACACTCGCAGTTTTGTGGTTACAGAGAGTAATCCAGGTAATTCGAGTGGCAATAAACAGGACAATAATTATTGTCCCATATGTAAGTCAGGTAGACATTTGATATTTAGGTGTCCAAAATTTTTGAGTTTTGAAGAACAACAAAGAATAAATGAAGTTAAAAGGTTGCATTTGTGTTTGAATTGTTTTAGAGGCAACCACCTGAGTACTAGATGTTCTTTTAAGGGTTGTGAGCGATGTGGTAAACCACACAATACCTTATTACACCTTGATTTTTCGAAATTTGAACCTAAAAATAATGTTAGTAATGGTTTGTTCAATAACACTAGTGAAATAGAAAATAACGCTGTGCCTCAAGCTTCTCAAAGTGAAACAATAAGCACTCACAGCCATAGTAATAATATAAATGACAAGTTAAATGAAAGTGAAGTGCTATTATCTACCGCGGAAGTTTTGGTCGTAGATAATTCAGGTGTTACTCATAAAGTGAGAGCTCTTTTGGACAGTGGTTCGCAATCCAACTTTATAAGCAGTGAAATAGTAAATAAGTTGAATTTAAAGACAAGTGAAGTGAATATGAGTATAATGGGAATAAATACCTCAATAACAAAGACAAATAAGCTCACACAAGTTTGCATTAAATCAAAGTACAATAATTTTTCCGTGAAATTGAATTTCTTTGTGCTAAATAAAATCACAAATAACCTTCCAATGGTAGCAATAAATAAAAATAAATTGAAAATACCCACAACTATCAATTTGGCCGATTCTGATTTTCATATACCAGCAAAAATAGACATGTTATTAGGAGCAAATATATTTTTCGAGCTCCTCCTTTCTGGCCAAATAAGAACCAATAAAAATATGCCAATTGTTCAAGAAACAAGGTTGGGGTGGATAATCAGTGGTGGCGTGCCTACTGAAATCAACAACAAAAATAATCGAGTCTCTGCAGTGAATAGTGGTCAAAGTGTTTGTACATTTTCATCCCAATCGAATATCGATGTGCTACTGGAAAGGTTTTGGAAATTAGAAGAGGTTGAAGTGAGAAAAATATTGAACGCAGAAGAAAGGGAATGCGAAGAACTTTTTATGCAAACGACCACCCATGGTAATGACGGAAGATTTATTGTACAGTTGCCAACAAAACAAGGAATAAATAATATTGGAAGGTCAAATGACATGGCTGAAAAAAGATTTTTAAAATTAGAGAAAAAATTTGATGCAAACAATGAGTTGAAAGAACAATATTCGGATTTTATGAAGGAGTACGAGGATCTGGGGCATATGACTCAGATTCCTAGCGATGAAATCAAATGTTTAGAGCCTGTTTATTATATGCCTCATCACGGAGTAGTGAAGAAAGATAGCACGACTACGAAATTGCGCGTAGTGTTTGATGCTAGCGCTAAAACAAATCGAGGTGTTAGTTTAAATGAATTATTAAAAACAGGGCCTACATTACAAGATGATTTATACTCGATTCTGATCAGATTCAGAAAGCATAACATTGTTTTAAGTTCTGATGCCGAAAAAATGTACAGGCAGGTTTGGATTGATCCTGATCAGAGGAACTTGCAGAGGATTTTATGGAGAAATAATCCCAATGAAGACATCAAGCACTTCCGTCTTAATACAGTGACTTATGGGACCACATCCGCCTCTTATTTAGCAATACGATGCTTGCATGAATCGGCAAGAGAACAAGAGCAAAATTATCCAAGAGCATGTTTTGAAATATTGAAAAATTTTTAC